GGGCTGATAATGAGGCCAGAGTGCTGTTTAGGACATCTGCCATTCTATGGGTCTGCTGTGTATCTCACTTCCCATGTTGGATCATTCTCTCCCTTTTTTATTCTGTCAGCTAGTATTTGCAGACACTAGTCTTGTTTATGTGCTCCCTTTGGTCTTAGTCCTATCATTATGATCAATTGTGAACAGAAATTGATCACTGGGACTAGTGAGATGGCATTGGTGCCACCTTGATGGGATTGAATTGGAATCCCCTGGTATGTTTCTAACTCTACCGTTTGAGGTAAGTCAGCTTGAGCATGTCCCGAATTGCACATCTCTTCCCTCTCTTATTCCCACTCTTATATTTAACAGTGATCACTTTTCAGTTAAGTTTCAACACTTGAGAATAACTGTGTATTGATTACACTATTCAACCAAAAGTATTAAGTAGAACAAACAAAAAAAATACTAAGAGGGATAACGTATTAAGTTGTTCATCAACAGTCAGGGCAAGGGCTTTTACTAACTTCTTAAGATGGAGCGTCAGGCTGTGGAATTGAGACTTTTCTCTTCGTAAGACAGATGTTAAAGCTGTTCCTTTCCCTGTACGCTCTGCTTTATGAACATCCCAGCAGTGTTGCCGTGTTTCATTGAATTACATTCAGTTCACTAAATTTTCTGATTTCCATTGTAATTTTTTTCATTGACCCATAAGCTGAGAAATATGTTGTTTACTTTCCAAATATTTGGATATTACCCTATATTTCTTCATTTGTTCCACTGTGGCCTTAAACCCACAGTTAATGATTTAAAATATTTTTTAATTGATTAGTACATTCTCATGGCCAAATATCTGCTCTTTCCCATAGATACACTGTGTGCAGTGACTGTTTCTTTCATTTTTAAATTTCTTTTTTTTTTAAGATATTGGTCTGTAGCTTTCTTTTTTTAAGGTTTTATTTACTTTTTTGAGAGGTCAAGTTACAGACAGAGAGGAGAGACAGAGAGAAGGTCTTCCATATGCTGGTTCTCTCCCCAAATGGTCGCAATGGCCAGAGCTGGGCTGATCCAAAGCCAGTATCCAGGAGCTTCTTCCAGGTCTCCCATGCGGATGCAGAGGCCAAAGCACTTGCGCCATCTTCCTCCTGCTTCCCAAGGACAGAAGCAGAGAGCTGAATCAGAAGAGGAGCAACCAGGACACGAACCAGGGCCCATGTAGGATGCCAGCACCACAGGCAGAGTCTTAGCCTACTACGCCATAGCACCGGTCCCCTTGGTTTTTAAATTTCAACATACTTGAACATTTTACACTAACAAGTCTCTTATACTTCCTGAATACTTGTATTTGGGTTACTTTAGAGCATATAGTTGTGTTGTAAAAAATCTGATCTCTGCCTTTTTAATGGCGTGTTTAATATATTCACACTGAGTGTAATTATTGCCATTGTTGCATTTGATTTTTCTGTTTTTTGAATTGCTTTCTATTTGCTTCTTGTCTTTCCTTTTCCTTTGTTACTCTGTTCCTCCTGTACTCCTTTATCTGTGTTCAGTAGATGCTTTAGTGTATTATCGTCAGCCAGTTTCTCTTTTTTTGCGTTTTTAAGTAAATAAGAAATTTCACAACCATTTCTTAGCAGGTGCCCTAAGAACTTACTACATGTATGAATTTACTTACATTTTCTAGTCTACTTCAGGACACAGACAGCAGCGACCCTATGGGGGTATGTTCAATGACGATCGTCAGGAAGTTGTAAACACGGCTTCACTGCGCACAGTCAGAATGGCTAAAACAGAGATGGTATTAAATGCCTTAAGGGACTCAGGGTGTCTGGATCACTCCCACTGTGCTGGTCAAGTGCAAAATGATGCAGCTCCTCTGGAAAGAGTTTTACCATTGTTTTCAAAAGTAAAAATGGACTGACCACACCACCCAGGGTTGCACTCTTGGACAATGGTCCTGCAAAAATAAAGCTTGTTTTTGTGCAGAAACTTGGTCACAAATGTTCACACAGGCTTATTCTCAAAACTACCCAAAGTCTCTCAGTGTGTGGATGGTCAGATGTGTGTGGTGCATCCGTGTCAGGCGACATTGTTCTGCAATCAACAGAAGCGAAAGGTTTCACACCATTGGTGGATCTCAGGGGAATTAGAGTGAGTAGGTGGACCCAATCCTCAAAGGTCACCTAGGTTTGCAGTAACAATAATAGGATGGTGATTGACAGGGATAGGAGAGGCGGATGAGCGGGCTATAAGTAGATGTCACAAAGCATCACTTAGGTGATGGATTCTTCTCTGTGTTGATGGTGGTGGTAGTTCCATGAACGTAAGTAGGCCACAGTGAAACTGCACAGAACTCTCCTTCCATGCCTATGCACAATGAGTGCCTGTCAAACTAGAAAAATCTGAATGAGCTTTGTAGATTATACCAATATAATTTTCCCAGTCCTTATGTTGATATATATGACAATCTTTTTAAAAATTTATTTGAAAGAATGACATAGGGGAAGGTAGAGACAGAGACAGAAAGTGATATCCATTCATTAGTTCACTCCCCATATGTCCACAATGGCTAGGGCTAGGCTAGACTGAAGCCAGGAGGCAAGAGCTCCATTCCATGAAGCCATGAAGAAGAAGAGTTTCAGGTCTCCCACATGGGTGGCAAGATCCCAAACAGTTGGGCCATCATCTAATGCTTTCCTGGGTTCCTAAGTGGGGACCAGGGTTGGAAGGGGAGCAGCTGGAACTCAAATCAGTTCTCTGATATGGGATGCTGGCGTTTTTGGGCAACAGTTGAACCCACTGTGCCACAATGCCAACCTCCGTATTTATGACATTCTTGTCCAGTTTTATTATGGCTTTCAATGACTCAACTTTTCAATTAATAAACTAACATAGGAAAATTGCAGAGAAGAACTGCACACCTCTGAGTCAGTGCTAATATTCTGCATCTCTAAGATCCAAGCAAATACCAGGGAGTTGCCTGGGTAGGGTGCACTGAGCTCACTGAGACCCTCCCGGCTACACATGCATTCAGGTCAGGTGTGTGTATAACCCTCTGCAGTTTCCTCACAGTGAACATCACGTAGGCAGCAGTACAATTAAGAAAGCAAACTGCACCTGTCCCCTGCATAAGGTTCCCTGTGTTGAAGGAGAGATCGGAAGTCACAGCTCATGGGAGGGCTTCCGCCTCTGGGGAGGAGACACAGGCCTCCCTGCTGCAGCTGTTGGGGCAGCCTGGACAGCTTCCTGGATGTCCTGGGGTGTGTAGTGGGGGTTGGGGCTCTAGGTGCAGCCTCTACTGGACTTCTCCTTTCTTATCCACTGGGAGGCGGAGCAGATTTTTCTGTTTATCTTCGCCCATTGCTGTTGCAGGCCTGTCTGGTACTGCACCTGTACTATGTGGGAGATTAAAATGACTGTGATGGGGGCCAGCGCTGTGGCGTAGCAGGTAAAGCCTCCGCCTGCAGTGCTGGCATCCCATATAGGTGCCAGTTTGAGTCCTGGCTGCTCCACTTCGGATCCAGCTCTCTGCTGTGGCCTTGGAAAGCAGTAGAAGATGGCCCAAGTGCTTGGGCTTTTGCACCCACGTGGGAAACCCAGAAGAAGCTCCTGGCTCCTGGCTTTGGATCAGCACAGCTCTGGCCAGTTGCAGCCAACTGGGGAGTGAACCAGCGGATGGGAGACTCTCTCTCTCTCTCTCCCTCTCTCTCCCTCTCTCTCTCTCTCTCTCTCTGCCTCTCCTTCTCTCTCTGTGTAACTCTGACTTTCAAATAACTAAATAAATAAAAATAAATAAATAAATAAAATGACTGTGACAACAACACGGGGAGCCTTTCCCCTGCCATTTCTCAAGCCTTGAGGTCCCTGGTCAGTGAGTGGCCATCTGTCCACGTTTCAGAGTGTTCTCATTGTCGTCTCCTGCATAAGTGCCGAGGCATTCAGCTGTAGTTGAGGGGGAGCAGGCACAGGTCGGGCCGCACCATCTTGTCACGGGCTATACTCCCATCACTGCTTCCCAGGGAGGAACCTGCAGCTGTTCCACCTGCCGCTCCTGAACACCTGTCCCCAGGCAGCCTGGCAGTCGAGTTTCTGACAAAGGCACGTGGACTCCATGGTTATATCCCCTTCACTAGGGCCCCTGCACAGTCTAAATACTTAGCTATTCCCATGAAGTTTTCCATCATTAGTTGAACATTTGTGCTTCTCAAATGGGTAAGAAGTCAAGCACATTGTGTAATTGTCTCTCTCTGTGTCATTATGTTTGCTTTGTTCCTGGTCTCTTCTCAAGGCCTCATTTATTCTCCCATAGTTCTTGTAATGAGGCTGTCAGTCATTCATGACCTCAGTGTCTGTGTTTGCCCTGGTTTTTGAATGTTCATGTGGATGGGTACAAATTTCTACATCCAGATAGAAATCTCTTTCTGCCTGGGCACGCATGCAGTGTCGGCTGGGCACCCTGCAGGTTTGGGGTCCCTTGGATTCAAAACTGCTCTTCTGTGGGTGGGATCCTGTGCTCTGCTGGCAGAGAGTCGTGCATCCAGGCACGTGGCCAGCAGGGACTGATGCTTCATGTTCTCATCAGTAGGGACAGGTGTGGTGAGAGGACAGAGGGCACAGCCCGTGGCCTCCAGGGCGAATCACACTTTGCATGCAGGATCTCTTTAAAATGCCTCTCCATGCAGTCAGTACCATCTTTCTCCTTTTCAGATGATGGAGCTAAGAGCCAGAGCAGCAAAATGACCTGAGGCCACCCCATGACGCACCTGCTGTGAGCTGACTCTCACACCGCAGCACCTCGCCATGCTCTGTACGGGTGGTGCAGTGACCACATTCCATTCCACGCTGGGTCGTTTTGATACCTAAATAAGACAGTCCTCTAAGTGCTAACCCCAGTGGCTGGTTTCTACCAAAGTGCTTGGTCCCCTTATCATGACTACGACACCCCTCCTGGCCGCAAACAGTGCCCGCGCAGTCCCTTCCAGAGCCTGCCTTGCCCCTTGCCCGTCCTGAGCAGGCTTCTTGAATCAGCTGAGTATATGCTTCCCCCAAAGGGCCCCATGGTGGTTCAGGTTTGCATGCAGAGCGTAGGGAACGCCCTCCTCCCTTCCCTCAGAATTGTGCTCTGGGTCCCATCACTGAAACTTCTGCATCCATATCCATGGCATCACCGCACTCCCTGTCCGTGGCCCCATCAGCTTCCTCTGGAGGCCCCCAGGTTATCTGAGGGGCTGGCGTAGAGAGGCCCCCTCAGCCTAGGCACCCGCTCCCTTCCCCTTTTACCTCTGTGCCCCACGTCTCCCCCATCTGCCTGTCCCACTCTCACGTGCCAGCCACCATGTCCTCACCCAGCTGATTCCCCTGCACTCCAGCTTCATAAATCCCAATTTCAAGTCCTGGTCAAGCACAGCGGCAGCCTCAGGGCAGGGCAGGGCTTCGCAGCTGCAGGAGAGAGTCCCAGGGGCCCAAAGCCACAGGAGGGGAGGGAGTTGCAGTCTGAGGCAAGTTGTGCCAACAGCTGTGAGCAGAGTTGGCCTAGGCTATTGTGGCTGGAACAGGGACAGAGCTGACAGGGAAGATTCTTGTTGGAGCTGGAGAACTGTGGGGGCCCACTGAGGCTCATCCTGGGCTGAGGCACTCCCTGGGTGGTGGCGTGGCCCACCTTGCTTAGGGTGAGAGCCTGATATTTGTTTCCCCAGCAGATGCTGAGGCCAGCGTGCCAGAGGATGGCAGCCCCAGGGGAATCTAGGAAGGAGGGGTTGGCCTGGGGTGGGAGAGGCTCCTCCTCCTTCCCCAGCAATGATCAGATGGATGTCAGCAGCCTGGCCCTCAGCACAGGGGCTCAGAGCTGATCGGGGACGAACAGGGACACCTGCACATGAGCACCCAATCTGACCTCAGCTCCGTGAAGCAGCAGCTTCCTGCAGGGCGGTGCTGGCTGGGTCAGGACCCCCACAGCCACCTCTACGGGATTTCCTGTGGAATCACAACCCAAACCTTCCTGTGTGAGACTCTCTAGGGACTGTCGGGTGGTGTGGGAGGGGCTGTACTTCGTGTTGTGTACATGTCTGCTGTGGCTGGGAGAGGCGGGGGAGGAGGGTGGTCTCGGTCTGTCCTGGAGGAGGCGGCTGCCATTTGTACTCCTTGTGTTGCAAGGAAGGTGTCTGCAGACAGACCCCTGGGTGCCAGGGGCAGATGAGAGCCAAGCTGGACAGGGAGGATGGGGGTGTGGGTTCCTGAGATCGTTCCCCCACGCAGAGGCTGCTAGGAGCAGGGCCACCCCATGGTCGCTTCCTGTTCCTTCCACTGCATCCCGGGTGTGAGCCCAGAGCCCGTGGTGACTTCTGGGTAGAGGTTTCACCCTGCTCTCCAACCTGGACACATGGGGAGAGGCTCTTGTTCAGGGGTGGGTCAGGAGGATCAAAGGCACTGGCCTGGGATGGAGTCTGTGGCCTGTGAGTGACCCACAGGGTCAGCCAGTCAGTTCTCAGCCCAAAGCTGCAGCTCCTCTCCCCAGCCAAGGAATATCCAATTTGACTTCATTCTGCCTAGATCTGGCAGGTAACAGCCCAAGGATGAGCGTCTTTGGGGTTAATGAGGGGCCAGTGGTGCCACTCACTAGGGCCACGGGTGGGGGATCTAGGGGTGTGCAGGTGTCGGTGACCAGGGGCCTAGGCTGTGGGTCCTGACGTCTGTGGTTGGGCAGCTGCTGACACAGTGCTTACAGGAAGTGGGAGAGGGCAGTGCTTAGAGGTCTCCAGGAGTTAGGGTTCAGTGCAGCCAGGACCTGGGGGCTGGGGCACCAGTGACCAATAGGTGGGCAGAGAGGGGAGGGGGATGCCCCTTCTTTAGCAGGGCTTCTTTTTTTAAAAAGATGTATTTATTGATTTGAAAGGCAGAGTTAGAGAGAGAGATCTTCCACTCCCCAAATGGCTGCAATGGCTGCAGCTTCTTTCACG